TAACAGTAGCTTTTGGAGCAAGGTTAAGTAAAAGCCATTAATGCAGATTCTGGCCATTTTGTAAATGAATAATTAAAGAATTAGGTATTTGTGGGAATTTTTGCTGTTTGTTCAAGACAGGGCTTTAGTATGTGGCCTTGGCTGACCTAGAACTTACAGGGATTTACCTGACTCTGCTTCCTGAGTGCCAGGATTAAAGGTGTGTGCCACCACTCCCAGTCAGAATTAGATCTAAAGACATACTAAGTACAAAGGCATCAAAAACATAAAAATGTTTGAAAATATCTTGCAACATCTTAGAAATAAAATGTTCAAGTGTTGTGCACTGAAACGTCTGAAATGTGACTCAGATCATGAAACAGCCGAGTGAACAGAGAACTGTTGTATTCATGGATGGCAGAGCTACTGTAGATACCAGTTGTTTCCAACTTAGCCTACATGATCCCTGTTGAGATACCAGTAGGGTTTTGTGAAGAAATGCAGAGTGATTCAAACTTTTACATAGAACTGTCAAGGATCCAGAAGGGTCAAGACAGTCCTGACAACGGACTGAGTTGGTAGACCAGCAATGCCTGCTTTTAAAGCTTGTCCCCTGACTTTCCTAGAATCAAGATATTGTGTATTACATAGACTTGCAGATCAATGGAACAAAATAAAGTCAAGAAATAGACCTAGTTGGGCGTGGTGGCACACGCCTTTAATCCTACCACTTGGGAGGCAGAGGCAGGTGGATCTTTGTGAGTTCGAGGCCAGCCTGGTCTACATAGTTAGTTCCAGGCCAGCTGGGGCAGACCTAATCTTTGCTTGGCAAGGCAGAAGGGCAAATGAACCCTGGCACTCATTCCCACAGTGATGGGCTATTCAATAGCATACTTTGGATGTTTACATGTGTCCAAACTTACTGATCACAACCATTAGGATAACTTTATAAAAAATAAGAGATAATAAGTGTTGGTGAGGATGTAGAAAAATTGAAACTTGAATATTGCCAGTAGGAATGTAAAATGGTGCAGTTGCTGTATAAAACAGCATAATGGGACTGAAGAGATGGCTCAGCAGTTAAGAGCACTGGCTGCTCCTGCAGAGGACCTGGGTTATATTCCCAGCACCCACAAGGTGGCTAACAACTGTGACTCCAGTTCCAGAGAACCTGATGCCTTCTTTGACCTCCTCAGGCATTGCACGACACAGGTGTGCTTACACAGGTGCAGGCAATACATTCACACACATAAAAAAATAAAAATAATAAATACTTTTTAAAATTCAGGGCTGGACATGGTGGTACAGGCAGAGGCAGGAGGGTCTTTGTGAGTTTGAGGCTACCCTGGTCTACATAGCAAGTTCCAAGCCAGCTAGGGCTACAGGGAGACTCTGCCTCAAAAAAAACAAAAAAAACAAAAAACAAAAAACAATGCAGAATTACCATATAATTTGATAATTCACTTTTGGGTATATATTGAAATTAATTACAAGTATGGATTTAAATAAATATTGTAAAATCATAACAATATCAGTATTATCCTCAAGAGCCAAAAGATGAAAGCAACCCAAAAATCTACTGGTGGATGAATGGAAAACAAAGTGTGTGTATTTGTGTGTATTAACACATAACTGTACAATACATTGTAAAGATGCCATTGTCATAGAAAATGTTAATATAGTTTCTAATTGCTTTTTCAGAAAATATGAATACTTTTCAAAATTAATAGCAGATATTCTTTTTAAAAAACTTTGGGAATTTCATACATGCATATGAGGTGTTTTTATCAAATCCATGCCTATTCCCTCCCTCCATTACCTCCCATGTCTCCTCATCACTTTCTTCTTTTCCTTTTCTTTTTTTCTCTTCTTTCATTTATTTATTTTTATGAGGTTTTTGGGTACTCTAATATTCCCCCCTCTGAAGAGGTAACCCTTAAATCTTTTAAGGATTAGATACAAGCTCCCAAAATCTTTTGACATTTTTGGTCTTTGAAACAGTATGTTGCTAAGAGGCCCAAGGATATTTTGACTTTTAGCCAAGAAACTGGCTACTTTTCTTTGGGGTCTTTTTACCCTAACTGCCTAGCCAATTCCTACCTCCTATTCTTATCACACCATCCTCTGAAGAGGTTACCCAAATTGCCAATAGGGAATAGGGACGCCGACTGCTCTGGCTTCTTCCATGCGGAACAGGAATACAGGGTGAGGCAATTGGAGTACCCCTCTGTGGGTCTATCTAAAAGACTCCCAAATTGCATAACTGTTATCTCTAGGGGGAAAAGAAAGTCCTTGAATCATCAGTAGGAAGAAAACAAAGTCCTTCACTGATGAATGCGCGATGTGAAGGAGAAGCAAAGGCAAGAGCAGTTAGCATTACAAGTTCTAGACAGGGAACCAGAAAAAAGTCAGAACAGGGCATATTTCAAATGTTCATATCAGAGTCCATTGGATTTCTTGACGAGAGCTTTCAAAAGCATCCCTCTTTTGGGTTCCTCATTTTTCTTTTGTCTGCCAAGGCTGGACTCTAGAGTGATGGATTCAGGATTTGCTTTCAGGTATTTTGATAGCTGTTGGAGTGGTTAGAATCAGCGTCAGTTCCCTCTCAAAGGCTTCTAGATAGTGGGAGAAAACAAACTTATCCATCATTCTAGAACAATAGCTGGTTGTTTCCCTTAGCTACACGTGGGCACTACAGTATTGCAGACCAAGATTTGCAATACTACAGTACTGCAGACCAAGTGTTACATCTGAGCAGCACTTTCTGGGTAGGAACAAAATCATCAATGAGAAATAATTGTCTAAATAACTTTTATATAGACTTGGGCCTAATGTCTGGGAAGTGTATTCCCTTGAACTCTTGAAGTATACTGATGACTTTACTCTTTGGTTATACTTTCCTTTTGGGTGTTTAAGACCATACAGTTAGCCAAAATAAATCAATTTATTTTTACACTTAAGGTCATTTGAGGATCTATTCCTTGGGAGTCACATGGGCTTGGGAGGAGCCCCTGGCTCCTTTCTTTTACCAGTTCCATCTATGTGAAGATAAGTCAAAGGTCCTGTTCGGCCATGTCTGGCTTCACTTGGAAGCATGAATGAGATGTTTCCTCAAAGTTGATCCTCCTCTTTGTATACTGGACACTGGTTCAATTCCATCTCGTGGGGTCTCCATGGCCTCCCTGAACAAGAGGACAGGTGACTCACCACAGATACAGAACATTTTGAGAGATGTTCCATAGTCCCCTGGAACTTGGTTGACCTTGGAAGGCAAGGGGCAAAAACTGTCCTTTAAGTCCCTCTGACCACATTAGTATAGGCCTTAAAGTATGACTGTTAAACATCCAATAAGGTTAGTTCCACCAGTCTGATACTTTTAATTATCATGTGCTATGTAGATAAGGCTTAGGTAAAGAACCAAATATTCTCAGATAAACATTGACTAGATTTATATTTTGTCCTTAAACTAGTTGACTAAATTATGACCATAAAAAATTTAAGATTATGTGTATATTATGTTTGTCTTATCCTTTATATATAACAAACCTTACAAAGACCTTCATCACTTGCTTAGATTTTCTCATTTTTTTTCTATTTTGGAAAATATCTCCATTCCCATATCTTTTTAACATCTTTTACATTCTCGTTTTCTTTTTAATAATTATGAGACATAATAGCATTAACAAATTTTCCATCGGTTGTGAAACTTCTTTTCCTGGGGATGCTAAGCAATGCTTATTCCCTTTTAAGGTTCTAGTGTCACGCTAATGTTTCATTAAAGTTTTACTGGGGAACCAATGAATTTATCGAGCTTACTTACTGAGATTGCTGAGGTGTATGTATGACCTGAGGGTATGCAGACTGCAAATCCTTTACCCAGCATAGGTCATGCCTTCTCTTCCTAGCCTTCTGCAGGTATATACTGTAGCCCTCCCCAAATCCAGGAGGCCATGTGTGATTAGGGTCAAATTACATAGTTGGCTGGATACTCCAGTAAGAGTCCACAGACACTGCTTGGCCCTCCTTTAATGAATGAGCACAGCTGTCAATAAGCCCAATTGTGATGATGTTTAGCAATCAGGCTCAGCTGAAGTCATGATGATGGTAGTTATTTCATGCAGAAGGGACTGATTAATAGCTGATACTCTAGAACCTTAAATGATTATGTAATATGCTACTGATTCCATAATTCTGAGTTTTTCTAAATTACAAATGATGTTGCATTCTTGTGCAAAAACTATCAAACTACCAAGCTGGAGTATAGATTATAGATTTAAAATTAATTATTTTTAAAAGTATACATATATATATGTGTGTGTATGTGTGTGTGTACATACAGACACACACATGTCATAACAGCAGAAAAGGGACAATTTAGGAGAAATGGTGGGGGCAGTGAGTGTTAATAGTGAAGTGCTGCGACAGTATATGCATGAAAATGTCATAATGAAACTCATTGCCTTGTAACCTGACTATATTAGGAAGCTTTGGGTTTTTTTTCTTGTTTTATTTTTGAGAAAGGGTCTCACTTTGTAGCCCCAGCTGGCCTGGAACTCAATATGTAGACCAGGCTGGCCTGGATCATAGAGATCTGCCTGCCTCTGCTCTCAGTGCTGGGATTAAAGGCGAGTGCCACCACACCCAGCTATTTCTTTCCTTCTCTAGGCTAGAAGAAGCCAGAATTTCTGCAAATTCCCCTGGGGCTCAATCCGGAACTCTCCCACCCAGACCTCAGAGTTAAACCCTGTCCTGCAGAAGTGGGGCGGGGTCGGAAATAGCCGGCAAGTGATTGGCTAGTTCACAGCTGTATGCTAAGTAGTGTGACAAGTTAAAATGTCTTTGAAAACCAGTATTCAAAAATGCTCTGTACAGTTTAGTAACAAAAGACATTCTTATCAAATATATATTGGATACAAATTTGAATAAATTATATCGCTGGAAAAAAGAAACAAAAACTACAGTCACCGTTAACCAAATATGAGCACGTTTCCCTCACCTCACAAAGACAAAGAGTTGTGGCTAAGACTATACTTTCAGGGATCATTTCTATAGTTTCTCACTAGAGAAGCTTCTCTGAATGTGTAGAGTACCAGAAGCCACGAGGATGAGTTGCAGTGTTCTCTCCTGAGCGTGAAACAGGCTGGGTTCTGTCTTGGGGCAGCAGCCATTTGCCATTGATGATCGTTCTACTCTGTGTATGGCAGAGTTGGAGGGAGAGAACACAGTCTGAGTGGTTTCCCTGGCAGTTCTGTGTGTTGAAAAAAAGGAAGTTAAGGTTTGATTGAGTTTTTTTAGGTGGTAGTACTGTTTGTCTTCTCTCTGCCGTTTTGACGAGCATTTTCCTTCCTGAGGTGTTCAGGTAGAAGTTTCCTGCTTTGAGTTTTTGTTTCTTTGAACATTTGCTTTACTTCCAGCCTGACACCATTATTACCTGCTGTTTGTAAGTAAAGATACATCAATATTAAGCAGGAAACTATCAAAAACCCGTTTATAATCTGATTTATCACTGATAATAAAAAATAGACGAACATAATCATGGTATATTGGAAAGGGATGATTTGTCCAGCCTTTGCTCAAGGCAGGCTCTGAAGACTCAAGGCAATATTGCAGAACTCACTTTTATCTGTTTTAATCTGTTACAATCCTTCAACCAATTGTTTTGATGTCGTTCTTGACAAACACCAGCAAACAAGTCCTGTTCTTTATACTCAAAGATTTGCATAGCCCGTGTGCTATCTGAACAGCACGTGTGGGGCTGGGTTCTGCCAGCTCATGTTGACATGACTATCTCTTTATTGCATTAGCTCTTCTTGACTGCTCTCATCCTTGGAGTTACTGAGGCAGGTTTCACTACGTAGCCCTGGCTGGCCTGGAACCTGCTTATGTGGACCAGGCTGGAGACTAAATGTAAACCACAGTTCCAGGCTAAATCTTAGCCACGGAACTGGCTCCTGCTGTGCTTACTGCAGTGATAACAAAGGATTCCCTCTTATTTTATCTCAGTATTTGTTCTAACAGGTGAATGATGCTTGGATCACCCCTATAATTAGTCCACTTTTTATTACCATAATGAAATACTTGAGAGAAAAGTTTATTTAGCTTACTTATGAAAGGACATAAACCCAACCAGTGTAATGCCAACTTTAGCAACCCGGTCAGCTGCATCACTTTATGGGAGCGAGAGAGCACATTGGCAATAGGAAGCCATGTGCAGAGCAGTAAATCTCTTCTGAGAACACAGGATAGTCTCTTCTAAGAGCACGTTTCTGATAATATAAGGACCTTCCACCAGGCCCTACCTCTCAAAAGGCCCTACTACCTCTCAAACCACCATGCCAGCACAGGATCCTCCCCCAGGAATGTCATCCAGGTCTTCTTTCGGGGAAAAGAAAGAACAGACACATTGTATCATGATGTAATACTTCTCAAGATCTAACATAGCTAATATTTCACTGTTCCATTTTCTTCCTCTTCTTTTGAGGCCACTCAGCTGGCTTTACTCAGTTGCTCTCAAGGCTGGTGCCGGGCTGTGATCTGGGGATTCGTATTCTCTGTAGCTATGGTGATCTCATCCCTTCTTGTGAGTTCTCAAGCCTTGTTAACTGGGTCATCCAAGTGTGGTCGTACGTGAGAGGTTCAGAGCTGTCTGGACTCCTGATCCTTCGAGGAGACCTGTTTGCACTTTAGACATTTACAGTGTCTTTTTTTCAGCTTAAGTGTTCTGAACTTCTGTGAGGGCGCTTGGCCAGCAGGTCTGGGCGTTGCTTCCGCTGGGCCCGAAGTCTGACATCTGACATCGTCTGCTTCTTGAGATTTTTCTTTTCCTGCTCTTGTTCTGTTCTTTTTCTAAATTGCTATCACTCAGATGGTGAAGAGAGTGGATGATTCTTAATCTCCCTTTCTTTGTCTGTTTACCTACATTCTGGGTGATTTATTCAGCCTTCTTTAACTCTTTTATTGATTTAAAAAAAAAAAACTTTGCTAACGTATTTTAAACTTTATTTATTTATAGCACCTTTAAGTGGAAGTAGTACTTGTCTCTGACAATATCAATTCAATTCAATATATCAATGTTTTTCTTTTTCCTCCTTTTTTTTTAGTCTTTTTGAAACAGGGTCTCCCTGTAGCCCCAGCTGGCCTGGAACTCCCTTTGTAGACCAGGCTAGCCTTGAACTCAGAGATCAGCCTGTCTCTGCCACTCAAGTGCTGGGACTACAGGTATGCTCCACCACGCCCTGCCTACAATGTTTTTCTTAAAAAAGTTGTAACCTTAGTTGGGAATGGTGGTGCAGAGACTCTGTCTCACAAAACAACAATAAATATTTTCATCTCCTTGACTTTTAAATGGATGCCCCCTCTTTTTTTGGCTAGGTCTTCATTGTGACGGTCTGTCCTGTAAATGCTGACTCCTGATTTAAAAGTGAGGCTGACTTATTACTGTTGCAGAGAACCTGGGCTCAGTCCCCAGCACCCTCATGGTGGTACACAGCCATCTATAACTCCAACACCAGGGGACCTGATGCTCTCTTCTGGCCTCCACAGGCACCAGGAACACATATGGTGCACATGCATACATGCAGGCATAACACTTACACATAAAATAAAAATAAATCTTAAAAAAATAAATACTTGGCCAGGCGTGGTGGCACACGCCTTTAATCCCAGCACTTGGGAGGCAGGGGCAGGCAGATCTCTGTGAGTTCAAGGCCAGCCTGGTCTACATAGTGAGTTCCGGGACAGCTGGGGCTACAGGGAGACCTTGTCTCAAAAAGACCAATAAATAAGTAAATGAATAAATAAATAAAATACTGAAAATCCTGGGGACATGGTGATGCTTATCTGGCGAGATGTTTTATTGAAATCCCCAAGATTCATCAGAGATGTATATTGCTATTTCTTTTTTGGACCTGTGGTTTTCAAACTTGCTTGTATATCAGAATCACCCAGAAGGCTTAGTAAAAGAGATTGCTGGACTATACTTGAATTCCATAAGTTTAGGAAAAGGTTACAACAATTTCACTTTTAACAAGTCCTGGCTGACCTGGAATTCCCTATGTGGATCAAGCTAGCCTCAAACTCACCTGAGCACTGGGGTGAAGGGCAAATTCCACCACTCCCAGCCCCATTCATATATATTTTTAAATCTCTATTTTCAATAATGACACTTTATCTTCAATAGGGCCAATAAGATGGTTCCGTGGGTAAAGGTGCTCACTTTGAAAGCCTGATGACCCGAGTCCAATCCTAGTAACCTGCAATGGAAAAAGAAAGCCAACTCCTGAAAGTTGTCCTCTGACCTCTATATACACACCATAACATATGCATGCACACCCACATGCACATGCACGAAACAAGAATAATAAATAAAATAAAAGTCTTCTGCCAAAGTTGGGAGCAGCGTTTTCTGACTAAGGTAGAGAACAGAATCTGAGGAGTTCAGCTCTCTGTGTACGTGCATGTGAGTATGTGGGGGGAGGGGTCATGTGCCCATGTACATGGGGAGATCAGAGAATTCTGAGCATCCTGCTTTATCACTGTCTACCTTACATCCTTGAGACAGGATCTCTAACTGAAACCAAAACTCACCATTTTTCACTAGGCTGACTGGCCTATAAGCTCAGCAATCATGTCTTTGCATTGTCCCCCAGCACCAAGGCCACAGGTGCACATAGCCATACTTGGCGTATATGTGAGTACTAGAGATCTGAACTCAGATTCTCATGCCTTTGTAGCAAGTGCTTTTAAGCACTGAGCCATCTCCCCAGCCTGGATTTCAGTAATTCTTTTTTTTTTTTTTTTTTTTTTTTTTTTTTTTTTTGGTCTTTTTGAGACAGAGCCTCTCTGTAGCCCCAGCTGACCTGAAACTTGCTATGTAAACTAGGCTGACCTTGAACGCACAGACAAGGACAGCCTCTGCCTCCTGAGTGCTGGGACCGAAGGTATGCACCACCATGCCCTGCCAGATTTCAGCAATTCTTAGGCATGAATTTGGTCAGTCTCCTGCTGGTTTGATCTACTTTATCTAGTTTGCTAAGTTACATATTCCTCAGCCATTCCCCTACTTTTTAGCTTGCTATAAACTAGGTGGCATCATCTTCTCTTTGATTCTTTATTTTTAAGCTCTTGATTGTTTGATTGATGGGGTCTTACTATATACAGGCTGCCCTCACATACAGTCTTTTTACCTCAGTGGCAAGGAGCAGAGGTAAAACTTTAATTCAATCCACCACCTTCAGCTGAAATTTAGGGGAGTTATTGGTGTTCAAAACCATGACCCAGGATTCTACATCTCAGAGTATAAACTGACTAGGAGTATCTTGCATACAAACAAAATCATCACCAAAGTGCCTCTGTTAGTTGTTTTGGGCTTGGCAAAAGATACCAGTTACATTTGCAGAGGGAAATATGTTTCACACTTTAAACCGAAGCTTCTACCTCAGCCAAGTAGGTCACAGGTCTGAGACACAAGCCACATATTGGAAATTCTGATAACTCAAAGCAAGAACTATGAATCAGTATGTTCAGTTTGCATGTAAAGAGTGTCAATGCTGCCAGGCATGGTGGTGCATGCCTTTAATCCCAGCCCTCAGGAGTCAGAGGCAGGCGGATTTCTGTGAGTTCAAGGCCAGCCTGGTTTACAGCCAGGGCTACATAGTGAGGCCCTGTCTCAAAACAGAAAAAAAAATACATATATATATATATATACATATGTATATATATATGTATATGTATATATGTGTGTGTTACCATCCTAAGCACTATTTTCCACTGTTTTCTGACAAACAAAAGTGATGATCAACCAAGTTAACCTGAGCCTTTTTGAGACATACACTGTCTCAAAAATCTATAGAACCCAATAAAATGGACATAGTTTTATTTTTTTTATTAGCAATTAGAAAATGAGCTCGAAGGAGCTCAGTAAGTAGGCCAAGGCCAGACAGGAAAGGCAGAGCCAGAACAGGATTGAGGGCCAACCTAGTTCTGCTGCCACATGATCAAGTGAATTAGATAAAGTGAAAGCAAATGAATGTATTAATTGTGAACCAAAAGCCCAAGCTGATTTTGTAACATAACAGATCTTATTTGAATTTAAGCTTCTTATGGGTTATACCACTCAGTGACTCACTCACAGGGCTCCTACCAGGAAAAACAAAACAAAATAAAACAAAAACCTGCAACAAATTCTCATGAAAGACTATTAGAATATTGTGAATTTGTATAAGAACAAGTTCACT